TAATCGAAGTGAGTGGTTATCAACTGATACATTATTGGAGCCGTGAAGGCGCTTACGTTCTGAGCTTGAAGAGGAGGATTCAAGATTGCTCCTACCTGCTCGACCATCGACTCAAATTGAATAATTTCCCGTCATGTCGCTCCTGCTCCCCTCTCGGGCAAACAAACGGGTCGCGGGGTCACTGGCGCACAAAACACATTCACGCTCCTCCTTCCGCGAATTTTCGTGATTCTCCGTCGCCTGGCCAGAGACCTCGTCCACAAATAATCGAGTCTTCGGTCGACAACATTCTGACCTATCATCACAGCCAGAAATCCCTCGACGACGGGCCTCGATCGGACCGCGTTCAACACGCATATGTCGAAATTTTCTCTCATCCAGCCGAACATTGGCTTCAAACCACGCACCAATGCACAAGGACACCGCACACTCATCATCAGACGCAGGGGGAAGGGGGAAACCGAATGCTCGAACACAATTCGACGACGTCTAACGTGCTGGGATTCGGCGTCTCATACATCCGCCGGATTTTCTCGAAAATTTTCTCATCGATTTTCGGAGCAGAGCGGCCTGCCAGCAATTCATGTCAGGAATATCGCAATTAATTTCCATCGGATGAATTTTACCATGGCACCAATCAACGCTCCGAAAATTCGGAGGCGCGCTTATTTTGTACTCGAGTGAGTCCGCGACGAGAGGAGATTGAGGCGATTCGAATTGAGAGGAGATCAATTTATTGCTTGCGTGCTCCCGCCTTATGCCGCGACGTATTTGCGGACAACGTCAGGTTCGGTAGTGCCACGAGCAGTGGCTGTCGTCTCCGGTTCGCTGGCCGCTCAGCTTGGTCTCATTCGTGCTTCTGGTCAGCAGGCCGGTCGGCACGGCCGACGACGGTAACTGTTTCAGGTTGCGTGCGAAGGAATGTTAATTGCGACTACTGCATACCTCAGGACCGTCATATCGAAGTGAGATAAATCAAATTACCCCAAATGAGGTTATTCGTTCGTTTGGCTGATCGCCAATCCAGCTGTCTGTCAGTCGTTTGATCCGTCCGTCTTGGTCTCTGTCCGCAGACCGAAAGTTAGTAATAGGTACCCTTTTCTGCCAAGGGTACGAATGACAGACGCGGGAAGGAGCTCGTGGAAGGATGTCATTGCTCGTTTTCAACATCTCCGTCTTCATTCAATGCAGTCACGCGTCTCTGTGGAACACGGAGCTGCGAGAGCCATCGATTCCGGGACGCGGTTCGCTTTTGATTCTTGGAACTTCGCTCAACTCCCCCCGTGCGAGCTCTCTCTCGAGTGATTTTCGGGGAGCTATCAAAGTCTTCGCCGCTGGAACAGCGAACTCCCGAGTTTTCCGGGCCGCTCTTGGAGCGTGTCACCGTCGTGGAGCGTCTTGACATGTCGGAATACTCATTCTATCGAACAATCCGAAAGATCGGAGCCGTAGCGACAGGCGACGTTGATTACGTCCGGAACGGTGCCGGATGTGTCACGGGGGAAGAGATTCGGGAAAAATATGTCGAGAATGGCGCGGAAAGACAAGGGGACTACTAGATGAGCGAGGAGAAAAAGGCTTTCTTCTCGCGAGTATTATCTTTTGGAGATAAATTCGAATCCACGAGTCGTTTCAGGAGAAATATGTCCCATCGCTCTTGCGAGTTCTCTATGCAAGTCGTTGGGGTTCACTTTAGACCGCTTTGTTTGGAGCCGCGGCTTCTCTCTCCGAACGAATCGACGAACCACAGTCAGAGCTTCCACGCATCGGGGTTTGACGTTGAAGTGACAGGAATCGTCTTTTTATTCATTTCCCGCCGCTTTCCTACTTTTGTCCCCGTAAGTCACCCTTTTCAGCTCCGCGAGATATTTCTTCGCCGATTTCCTCCCCTGCTATATCATTCCGTTTTTCCCATTTCCTTTTGATTCTTCCGACCACTGCCCCTTCACTCACTTGTCAGAGCGCGATGACGGAGACACCGTAGGGTAGTTCCCCCGATTTCTCCCTCCCAGCCCCACCGTTCATCTACCTCCGGGCCAGGCCGTAGCCTCACTCTCAGCTCTGCGGTGGCCATTGGCGGTTCTTTCACCTTACGCCCGGCGGACCATCTGCTTCGATCCGCGCGGAACGCCTTGGAAGGCTCTCGCGGGAATCTCCCCGCAGACGGCTTTCTGAACGACGGTCTGTGAACGACGGTCAGAAGGAAGCGTGCAAAATATCACACCCTGATTCCCTCCCGCATGTCCGCTGACGACGCTTCGGCGGGATGTTTCAAAACCCAGATTGGTCGGCATTCGCGATACATTTCGCCTCCAATCCGTGGGATGATATGAGATCCCTGATCTTGGACACAAAATCATCAGCTTGCGCAGACGTTCGTTCGGAGTTTGCCTTCGCGCGCTTCGAGGTCAATTTCGTGATTTTCCTGGAGACAATGCCGTTCGTCTTGCGGAATTGCTTGATCCAACGTAGGCAAACTCGGAACCCTGGAATCTTGCAGCTCCCTAGCCAGCTCTTGGCCTATCCTCTGGATGTCCCGATCATGCTTGATGATTCCGGAATTCATTTTCTGCGAAATCCTCTCCAGCAAGCGTTCTCGAAAGATTCCCATGATATCGGCGCGTTTCATCGTACCATTCTTGATGCGATCGCCCATGGCGAGGACTTTCTGAAGATCACTAGGGCCTTTAATGAAACGATAATTCTTCATCATGCAAGATAATGTACGCGTCCCTTTCTTGCTTGATCTGTAGAACGCAGCCGCATTTCGGATTCTTTGGAGAGAGCCCTCGGTCTGCGGATTCAACAAGATCGAGGCTTTCTTGAGGGATCGTTCCCCTTTTGGATCTTCATCGGTGTAATGATCGTCAGTGGTGTCTTCAGTGCTTGGTTGCGATACTTCGGCGTCAGAATCGAGCACTTCCTCCGCACTCCCAGGGAGGCTTTCCATAGACGAAATTATCCTCCGCACGACTTTGATTTCCTCGCGACTTGCCTCGACCGGGGTGAGTGTGGCCATGAACTCATCCCGCGGAATTCCAGTTTTCTCGGAAAAGTGCGTGATCAATATTGACAGGATTTTCCGAACTGACGCCATGGTTGCTTTCGGACCGGGCAACTTCGTTCTCATCCACGCCTTCCTCGTGTCCTTGCTTCTTCTTCCACATGGCATAGCGAGTAAAGGCTATAACTGGCAGCGCGGCGCATGGATCATCGACGAGGAAGTGACACTGATGAGTGAGGCCCGTCAACGAGCGCTGATTTTCTCCCTCTTATCGCATTATTATTCCGTTAGAGTGGCAACCCCATCAAATTCGTCGAGCGCGACAGTTCCGCAGCTCACATCAATCGATGGGGCAACTTACGTTTCGAATGTAGTTTATCCGATCGTGTGGCGAGGAGTCTATTCGGGTCAGACGGTCCGGCTGGCGCGGGAAACTCGAGGTAATCGGTGTCAGGGGAAAATTGCGCTATACCCCTCCGGAATCAGATGGGACTTGTCGAAGAATCCGCCCTTCCCCACGACCCACGACATTCTACTCCTCGGGCCATGCGCACGTACACACTTCGCAAGTCCATCGCGATCTTGATCAGGGATGACTAGTGTTCCTATATGCATACTCTATGATCGTGTGTGGCTGATCTCCGTCCCGCTCTTGAAGCCTGCCGGCCAGTGTCATCAAAGTGGACTTTCAACTTGATTTCCGTCATAGAACGCTCCATCGTCACCCCGAATAGTCTACAGATGGGTGGTGGAGTCGCTTGCGCGTCTGACTTTTCTTCTGGAGACGTGCTTCAGGGAGATGTGTTCAGGCCACGAGAGTTCACGCGGAAGAGAGCCTGCTTCAATCCCTCTCGCCGTCGAAATTTCCTCACGGATGTCCCCACCGGGAGCGCGAGTCCTCGGCACTGATCCTCTTGGGGGACTGCGAGTCAGTTACCGGAAGAAATACCGAGACTCCGGTGATGCTCGGGACGGGCTGCGTGTAGCAGTTCGGGGATAGGCTGTCACGGAACGACCGAATAATTTGAAAAAATTGGGCCACTGGACTGTGTCTCCATTACTCGACCTTGTCAATAAGAAATACCTTCCGAGTCCTCACCCATTCTAGACTCACGGACGAGCTTTTGCAAGCTGACAGGATTAGTCGGACCTTCGATCCCAATGCACGGCGAATGATCATCGACTTCTGACAAGAAGCACTTCTTCCAATGTCTAGGGAAGACGTTCTACGTATCGATGAGCTCATCCTGCCTCGTCTGCGGCGTTGCGAAATTCTAGGGCACACCACTGCGCGATCATACCATACCACCATACCTCTGATCCGGGAGATCGCAAGGATCGGGCGGTCCCGGTTACGGCCCTTGCATTCTTCTACATTAATAGTGAAATATGGCGCCGAGCATAACGATCTCGGGACTTCCGTCCGGACGTGTTCCCATTCCGATGTGCGGGAGTGAAACGGTAGCATTTGTCTCTTTCGTGGGAGGCATCAAAAAAAAATCAATAAGCGCGGGGAGAAATATGGCACCATTGAGCATCGAACCTGCGCTGTGGGCGATTCCACGGCAGGTTCCGGGCCGGATCGGCCACGGAGGGAGGTAAACGAAGTCATGCATGTTCGAAAGAAACTCGGACGTCACCTGACTGAGATTGTTTCTATTTGGCTCGTATGATTGGAATTCCCGTGATCTTCGAGCTGGACATATTTCGTAGTCTTAATTTGGTCGCGATCATCCGACTTGAATTGTGACCCTTCCCAGTATAGATTGTTCTATCCCCAGCAAATATCTTGCATAATACATTCAATCAAGGACAGCAGGGACGACGTATATGCCTATATCGTGTGTTTCGATTCCCGGAAGAATCATCTGCTCCACAGGGAGAATGCTCCCTCATTTAACCACTCATCTTGCCCCGTAGGTCACAATTTTTCGACCGACTCGACGATATCCCAGGGACTTTGGATGGATGGATGAAAGGATGGTTTATTGACCCTCTCTGATTATATCTCGATCTCACAGTATAAATCAGATGACCCTGGTGCAGGGACGATGTCTCTAGCAGGTCGATTCATGTGATATCCTTCTTCGGTTCCAGTGGTAGTCCTCCTCCGCTCCCCGCTTTTCATCGACACTATCCTTCACCGATCGAGCACAATACTCCGAGGCTTCTGAGTCTGTCCCAAACTTCCGGGGCCTCGCCATCCATCAAAACTTCTATCGATCCGAGGATATCAGAAGGGTCTAGTCATTTTCACGCCGATTCCTGCGCATTTCCGAATCTATGTACAATCACGGTCCTATACACCAGTGTAGACTGACAACTTATCTCGACTCCGACGCATTGCCTCACGCATATGCCGATTGCTCCAACTCCCGCCATGAAGTAATTACGAAAAAATCTTCCCCCTTGCTAAACTATTCGAAAGCTCGAACCGCCGTGAAACCTAGCAGCCCATCTGGGATTGGCGTTCTCATCCGATTCCTCCAATCAGAGACTCAACTTCATAAGGCCACAGTGAAAAAACCTCGTGGAACCGTATCGCCAAGTTCTTCGGCGTCTGGCAGCTTCTGAGCTTCCTCTAGCTGTGGGGTCTCTCCCAGCAGCTCGACGACCGGCGGTGCGGGTTCCAGAGCCAGAAGTGTATTGATCGAGGTTTCAATGTTTCTGAGATTGCGGAGAATTCCCGAAAGTTCTTTTGAAATATCTACACTATCCGTCACCACTGGTGGAGGGGCTATCGCACCCGAGAGCAGCTCGGTGATGAGGAGAGATTGATCGCTTCCCTCAGGATACCTGCAACCGGAGCGTAGATTACAGACACTACTATATACATATAGAGGACTTCCATGACGATTGAGGGAGCTGGGGAAACGGCAGCAGAACCCCCCAATGGATGATAAGAATCGTGGGAATTTTGAATTCCACGAGCGCATTCTCAAATAATACCTCTTGCTCTCGCGTTCCATGAGCGAACCGACTCGGAGCCTGAGCTTTCCAGAGAGTTGCGAGATGGCTTGGATGACGAGTTGATCCAGAGCAGATAAGCCCTGAGGTTCGTCCTTCTCGCCGAGAGATGCCTTCGCCTGTTGGAATGGCTGATGCGATAGCTGCTGAGGTGGCAGCGGCTGCTGCGGCTGCTGTCGGAATGGAGATGCCTGCGGAGAGGGGAGCACCTTCCTGATCACTTGCGGTGACCCTACCGTCCGTCTTTGCAACTGGGGAGAGAAAGCAGCTCGCGATGGACTCGCTGTTCGACTTGAAGGTCTGTTCCCTCCGAAATTCGTTCGCGATGAAGCTGCGGCGGCTGCATGTTGTCTTTCGTTCTCCTGGAATGACCGGGATGTTCATTAGATCCATTCCTTTCGTTGATTCTCCCGCCCCCCTACGCGGAATATGAACATCGCCGTCGTGATGAGGGAAACCATCGACCGAGGATTGATTCGATGCTCCGGTAGGACCACTCACCAGAGCTTGATGTTGCGGACAGGTTTTCTGCTTGAGGAAGGTCTCCTTTCTCAACAGAAGCGGACTCGCCGCTCTCGGATGAGCGTTGAATGAGGCGCTGCGGCTCATTTCACTGTCCTTCAACAGGACATCGTGTCCCTGAGTTGAAGGTTCGAACGTCGACTGACTCAGAGGATCCACTCCGTGTGGATAAGACCGGAGCTCAGGCCTGGATAAATCGTCTGCGTCGTCCTGACCCAGAAGATTGATGTTGCAGGGATCGCTTTCGTTTCGTCTGGGGAAGAAACAATTGGACCGATTAGGCTTACCGGATATCAATCGCGCAGATGATTGAAGGCGACTCGCATACCCTTACCTGCACGTCTTCGGAGAAGCCGAGTTCCTATTCGGGACTCCAGCAACGCTCGAACCGTGCGGTAGATTTTCCGCCCCTGGCCGAGTGCGTTGCTTGGATGAGAGAAGCCTCATCGAGAAGCGACCCCCATCCTGCCTTGAGAAAAGGTTAGGGTTGCTTCCTGTCAGAAGGTGCGACTTCTGGGATGCAACGTTGTCCTGAAGTCCTAAGCGAGCTCTTCTCAAAGCGAAAGCCCGATTGACTTTCATCGATTCTCCTCCTGTGAGATGAGATCCGGACGAATTTGACGACTCGAGGCTAAAGTCCGACCCACCATAGGGTCCTCTTCTGAGCGGGGTTGTCTTCGTCGGGGTTTTGGCAGTGTTTGGCCGCGGGGCTTCCTTGGTCGGGGTCGCGGCCGTAGGGCTCTTGCCCGTCGACGGTCGTGACGCCCCAGAGCTCGAAGGTCTCCGGTTCTGTCGAGCCGAGACCGTTACAGGTTTATTGCGAATACTGGAGGGTTTCGACGGAAGACCACCGGTCGAAGAACCGGAACTGATGGTGGACGAAATCATCGAATCCGACATCATGTTACTCGGAGTCGGTACTGAAGAAGCCAGGAAGGTCGAAGAAGATGTTGTTCGATTGCGTCTCGGCGGAGCCACGATGGGTTGCGTCTGAAATGTCAATATTCCCCTTGAGGGCTTGATCATATTTCGATCACGCGGATCGGGTCTCGGGAATTCTCGATGCTCTCCCGTGCAATGAAAAATATCTCAACTAACCCTTGTGACGGAAACAGCATGCTTGTTCTTGTTCAGGGTTTTGTTTCGAGCGTTGTACTCTTGGAAAGCATCCTCTTCCACACCGAACACCATGTCAATCTTCCTTCTGGCTTCTCGAGTTTGTGGATCGTCGACGGTGTAAGTTCCAGTTTCGCTTCTGTGGTCGTCGTCGTCAGCTGGTGCTTCTCGAGAGTCGTTTTCTGCCCTTGATTTGGAGTAGATCGGATTAATCGCGCGAATCGGAAAATGTTTTTTTCTGGATCTTGGATAAGAGTGTAATATCGTCCCTGCTCCCTGCCGATATTGAGAGAGGGCGCCTTTCGAAAACTGCCGCCACGTTTCTCTCCAGAGATAGGAGAATCTGGCTCTAGCCATTCTGCGTTCTCCAAGAGCGGGATTCACCACGTGAAAATCGATTCTCTGATTTAAGGTAAATGCTCTCATGCTTACGTATCATACCACCGATACTATCGTTGTTAAATCGTTTCAATCGACCCATTAAAATAAATCTCTGATTTAAGTGAGAATCGATCGTGTGATCCTTGAAAGAAGAAAAATATAAATCGATTTTCCGAAAACTGTGAAACTCCAGCCGTGAAAGTCCCAAAAAAATGGAGCAACGAGTGATCATCCACGTGGTTGTGAAGACGACTTCCAAGCAAGAACCTGTGATCTGTTTGGAAACGATCAGAAGACAACTCGAAGACACGCAGTACATTTTCCCCCTCAAGCACCAGAAAGACTCCAGCCATCCTGAGCTGTTCAATCTCCCAGTCGTGAGGAACGCTATCAAAAATCTGACGAAGGTTGGTCAATACAGGAATCTGAGAGTTACATTGAAAGAGCCCTTGCTGCATCAATACTGTGACAGTGACCGCAATTTCGTCTTCGAAAGCTACTATCTCGAGGAAACTACATCCCCGTCGAAAGAAGCGGGAATCGACTTGGGGGAACACTTCAAAAACGATGTGATGGAGATGCTTGGAAAATTGAAACTACAAGATTCTTCGCCAGATCAGAAGCTTAGAACGATTGAGAAGCAGTTCGCGCTAGAGAAATTTAGTGGTAAACAGAAAGCGGTCGACTGGTTGGAAGACTTTAACTCCGAATGCACGAGACACAAGGTTGTGGACGATCAGGAGAAAGTCAAAGCTTTGAAATTGTTTCTAATCGATCGAGCGATTGATTGGTATCAAGCCAACACCATGAAGTTGCCGCGGAACGATTGGTCTCAGTGGTCTAATTCTTTCATAAAAGTGTTCTCTGAGAAAGGTTGGTCCAAGGTGAGGTACGCTTACAATTACAAGCACATATCAGGCTCATTGGTAGAATACGCCTTGAAGAAAGAGCGCTTGATTTTGGAAATAGAAAGCCAAATGACCTCACCATCGAGAATTAGTCTCATTGTTCTCGGACTCCCAATATATATCCAAGACAAATTGGATAGAGAAGTCATCGCTGAAACCGATGAATTGATCAACAAACTGGGCCAGTACGAATCCGACTATAAGAGCGCTTCGACTCGAAATGCGAGTAACCTGAGACCATTCGGAAAGAAAACAACCGACGAAAAGAAGTCAGCGGGAGCGG